GCTGTCCAATTTATTTCTAGACAGGGAACATGTTGGTTGCAATTGGTCATAGAATTAGGCGAAAAGATGGAATAGATTTGTGTGATTGTACGTAGTTGTTTGAAATTACATGTTGCAGATTGCATCAGTGGTCTGCACTTTAAATTCTTTCATGTGACTTTCTTTTCAAAAGGTTAACTTGCGCTGCAGAAGCATATGAGAGAGGGAAGGAGAGAGAGAGAAAGGGCAGAAGAAGGAATGAGGAACTGGGCAGTAAGGAAAAACCTCAGATACAAGGACAATGAATGTCTTATCTGCTTTATGTATGGGCTGAGGATTTTAAATTCTTGGCCTTTGTTTGCTGTTTTTGAGTATGGAGTCAGAGCAGGGGTGAAATAGTATGCTGGAGATATAGAGACGGGTTAGCAATCTGCAACGTTGGCAGAAAGGACGGGAAAGTTGTTCTATTTTTCAGTGGCAGCTGAAAAGACCTTAGAGTCTCAATCATCTTATCTCATATCAACCTCACATACAAGACAGACACGAGACATGTTTCACTGTCAGACTACACATGTCTACGCACTGGATATTTGGTCTGTGGGTTGGTGGACTTGAGGGATTAGTTCCTATCAGGTATCCTGTCACTCTGAGGTGATGTCAAACAGGGCCGCATTCTGTTCTTGCTTCCTCTGCCCTCTTTTCCTCCACTTTGCCTCGACATTTCTCCACTCTTCCGTCTTAGCAGCCTTGAGTCCAAGGTCGAACCAAGCTCGCTGGAATGAGAAAACAGCGAGTCATTGTTTTTAAAAACAAGTGACAGTGAACCGGCACTTTACATGCCCCCCCCCTTCATTTCTTTTTCTCTTCCTCATTCTTTCTCTCTGTTTATATTCTTTCTCTTTGTCTCCCTCTGTCTGTACCTATCCATCCCCTTCTCCTTCTGTCCCTCCCTTCCTCTCTCCTTTGGCAGTGCTGGAAGGTAGAGAGAAGGAGGCGAGCCAAAGTCACCAGTGTGATCTGATTTAGGCCTCTCTCTTCTCTTGGCCAGCCATCTGACAGCGCAGGGCCTGCGTGTTGCTCTTTTCTACCCGCTTCAATCTGCCACAGCCTGGCCCTGTGCCACAGCTGTAACGGGACCCAGAGTTGTGTATAAATAGGCTAGGCCAGCTCCCCTTGCCATGCTCCTCAATGGGAGGCTGAGGCAATGGAGGAACAGGTGCTCCAACCCACACACTCCCTCTCTCTCCGCTCAGTCTCTCTCCCCCCACACACACACACACCTTTATCTGATGTCCCCAAATGTGGAAGTACAGGTAAGTCACGACGCACGTGTTTGCCGCACTCGCTCGTCATATCACTTGGTCATTGTCCCCTCTTATTGTTAACAGAAGATTTTTAAAAATATTTCCTGTGTGGTTAAATTTAATGGCAGGCTGAGTTTATTTCCACTCAAACTGCCCCCCTCTCTGTCTTCCCCTGGCTCACGTACTGTTATTTTGGTCCTCAACTCTCTTTGTTTTGGAGGTACAAGTTGGTACATGTTAATCAAAATGCCTCTCATGCAATTTCTCAGCATCATTTTTCACTGTGGAAGCCACAGCTTGGCAGTGGGCGCGCAGGGAGCTGGCTTTACTTCTCAGGACTTTCCACAGCTATATTAACAAACAAATGCATTTTTCCACTGGCAGTCCACTTGGCACCGCAGCCGCATATTCTCTCTCCTGGGGTTTGTTCAGCAACTGAGCTGTTGACAAATCTATAATCAGCAGATCACCTCATCAGGGGCAACGTGCGCCTAAGCTGACAGAGAGAGGAAACTTCTCACAGTCCAGAGTTAGCTGCCACCTGGTTTCATGCTAGACAGGTCTGGTTTCACGCTAAGCTAACATGCGGCTGCCCTCTGCTACAGTGAAAGGCAGAGGCAGGCTGGTCTCCGGGCCACAGAGGGCTCCACTCTCACCTTCTAAAACTGCCACTGTGATCCACTTTCTCACTGCCAGCCAGCACTGGACCAGCCAGCCAGCTACTGTTAGTTGATGCATATTAAATTCTCTGCAGGGAGCACAACTCTAAAAATAAGAGAAGAATCCGTCTGAAATTGTAGCTACACTATAACGGAGGCTGCAGCTGTGGGTGCTTACTGAATAGTGGAGATGGCACTTTCTGTCAGACATAGCGGTTACACTGGCATGACCTCGGTTGCACCGGTCACGCTCAAGTACTTGTCGAGCTGCGATGGTGAGGTTATGCTGTGAGCTAATTCTGCTTCATATTTGACAAGGAGAGGGTTGCGAAGAGACAGTTGATGATGTGCTAAAATGGCATTGAGTTACAGGGAAAGTCGTCAATACTTCTGTTATTTAACAGATGTCTTAAGGGTAACATCGAATGAGTGCAAATTGGAAAAATGTCAGCCGTCCTGGACAATATTCCAATTATCTTAGCAATATCTGCAAGGAAAATAAGTTAAAGGAGAGATGGAGAGAGGTTAGCCATATGTTTTCTTTTTCTTCACATTATACTGTTGAAATCACACTGCATAAACCACAGTCTTCCATTCCACAGAGCCTTTATTTGCTGTGCAGTAAAATCTAAACCAGAATAGTTTTTTCTTAGTATTATATAGCTTCTTCACACAATTGTGTCCATTGTGGGTTTTCTGTGGAATTGTGATCCAAGACACATCTAGATCAGAGTTGAGAAATCAAAATGTGTTCAATCACCACGTAGATGAGAAGTACTGGACATTTTGACATCTTAGTTTCAAATTACATCCTTGCACATCACGGAAAGCAACTTGAAAACAGTCTTGTGTAGCCCTAAAAAGGCATTCTTTATTGTTTAGGATGTTTAGTTTCCTGTGATACATATACTGTTATTATACAACAATGTTTGATAGTTGTTTCCACATATGCAGCCTATATGCTTACTGTTAAACTCCATTTTGCTCATACCAAAATAAAACGGTTCATGTCCGTTACTACATTAGTGCTGAAGTTTTATTTTAGGGCTGAACAATATATCGTTTCAGCATCAACATTGCAATGTACGCACAAGCTGTAGTCATGTTGCATTAGATGCAATGTATTAAAACAAGTAAGACCCACTATCCTAAATTAAGAAACAATTTTAACGCTTGATAGGAGATGAAAACAAATCAATCAAAATCCTTATTTTTATGACTAATCCTAAAAGTAAGTCAGCCCCTTCTGATAAATAACTTAATTTAGTTTCATTTAATTACAGTTTGGTTACTGTTTCCCATGAACGCTCTTCTGCACTGTTCTCAGAAGGGACTTATATTTTTAGCATTTCACTTTTAAATGTGAGACAAAAATGAAAGAAATGCTCAAAAAGAAGAAAAAAGCTATTTCTAATTAGAATAATTAGAATTACACAATCTGAAAACAGCAAATATGTCAGTTGAATTGAAAAATAATTATAATATACACTGCAGAAAATAAGCACACATAGTGACCCATGTCTAGACGGTGTATATATATTTTATGTTTCTTATGAAGAGAAAGAGAGAGATACATCGGACATTTTTGAGGATCTGCATCCTCAGAAAATGTCAGTTCTCT